TTAGGGTTTAGGGTTTAGGGTTTAGGCTTTGTTGTGCGTCTCAGGCATTCGGCAAATACACCTGTTGGCCCACAGCCTCGGCTCCCGCCTTCTCATTATGAGTCTTCACAGAATAGAACAAGAAGAGTAAATCCCAATTCCCTCTAAACCCAATCTGGGGGCCCCCTGACAAATCAAACGCAGCTTTCCCCGTCTCGGAGGGCCCCAGGGGTCCCCATTAACTTTCTGGGCTTCTGGGGGCCTCCTGTGGGGCCCTCGGGGGCCCCTGCGGGCCCCTTTGGGAGCCCCAGGGGCCCAAGGGCTCCTAGGGGCCCCATGTGGGAATCCCAGGGGCCCCGGGGGGCCCCTGGGGGCATCATTTGGGGCCCCGAGAGGCCCACACAGCCTTGCGGGGTTTCTAGAGGGCCCTAGGGGCCCCAGGGGCCCCCAGAATCTCGTTTAGTCCTTGGGGGCCCCCGGGGCCTCCCACATAAGAACTGGACTCCCCCGTGGGGGTCCCTCTCCTTAGGAGGTTAGGGCCCCTGAGTTCTCACACGTTGAGCTGCTTGTGGTGCGCTCTGTCCCTTTGCTGCTGCTGCTGCTGCTGCTGCTGCTGCTGCAGTTTGCTGCTGAAGCTGGCCTACCTAGAGGACATGGGCGAAGGGAATGCGCAGCAGCTGGCGGACCAGCGGAAAATGCATATTGTGTCTTTGAACTTCTTGAACCCCGAGTTCTTCCTCGAAGACTTTGTTGCCAAGGTGCGCATGCATGCGTGCATGAATGCATGTGTGCATGCATGCATGCATGCATGTGTGCATGCATGCATGCATGCGTGCGTGCATGCGTGCATGCATGCAAGAGTGGAGCCCCACCTTTGTGGGGCCCCACGCTTGCGGCGGCTGCTGCTGCGGCTTTGCTTTTCGTCTCACTTTTCCTTTTTTTTATCTCTGGGGCCCCACATGTTTCTTTTTTATTTTCTCAAATTATATTATTTATATTATTTCATTTCTTTTTCCTTTTCAGGAATATTCCTTCTTGAGGCAGTACTGCAGCAACATTTCCATCTTCTGCGACGCCCACGACGGAGTAAGCAGCAAATTGCTGCAGCTAGCCAGCAGCTAGCCAGCAGCTAGCCAGCAGCTAGCCAGTAACTAGCCAGTGGCTAGCCAGCAGCTAGCTAGGAGCGAAGTGGCCAGCTTACCAGCCACATAGACAGCTACTTATCTACCCAGGCAGCTAGCTAGCCAGATAGCTAGCCAGCTTACCTATCCAGATAGCTAGCCAGCCAGCTAGCCAGCCTGCTAGCTAGCCATTTAGCTAGCCAGCCAGCTAGCTAGTCAGGTGCCTATCCACCAGGCTACCCGGCCACGCACGCAGCTAGCTAGCGCCAGAGCTAGCTGGCCAGGCAGCTAGCTAGCTAGCTAGCTGCTGCTGCGTGGCTGCAGGCCTTGTGGTGGTCGGAGCTGTTTAGCGGCAAGCAGGCGCTGGGGCGAAGTGTCTTTGGGCTTTACGCGAGGCCCAACGAGGGCCAGTCTGGAGAGCAGCAGCAGCAGCAGCAGCAGCAGCAGCAAGACCTGCGGAAGCCGCCGCTGTACGCCAGCAGCACGGCTTGCTTCCAGGGCTACGAGCCGCAGCACATGCAGGCCGACACCCGCGACTGGCTCGGTGAGCCCCAAACCCCAAACCCTAATCCGTAAACCCTAAACCCTAAACCCCCGCAAGCTGCAGCAGCCCCAGCCTCCCGGGTGTCTGTACACCGCAGATGTAGACGTCATCGACATGACTTGGCTCGGAAATAATGTGCATGCACTTCGCCACTCTTACTGGTCTCTGAACAGAGAGGTTATTGAGGACCTCCGGTGCGTGCGAGGGTTCAGGGTTTAGGGTTTAGGGTTTGGGGTTTGGGCCTAGGGATGGGGCTGCACCGCCCTGACCGCGGCGGGCTAGCTAGCTAGCTAGAAGGCGGGCCGGCTAGCCAGTGCTGCAGCGTGCCCAGACTAGAGCTAGCTAGCTAGCTACCTAGCTAGCTAGCTGCCTGCCTGCCTAGCCAGCTAGCTAGTCACTTGCTAGCTAGCGAGGTCGCCAGCTGAAGTAGCTAGCTACCTAGCTGCTTACCCAGCCATCTAGCTAGCTAGGGAGCTACACAGCCAGCCAGCTAGCTAGCTACTTGGGTAGCCGGCTAGCTAGCCAGGGAGCATCCCAGCAAGCTGGATACATAGCTAGCTACCTAGGCAGCTAGCTAGCTAGCCAGGTAGCTGCTTAAACAGCCAGCCAGCTAGCTAGGGAGCTTGACGGCCAGCCAGCTAGCTAGTTAGGGAGCTTGACAGCTAGCCAGCTAGCTAGCTAGCTAGCTGTAGCTGGGTGGTGCTGCGGCCGCTGCAGGGAACTGATTGTGACGCGCAAAAGAGCTCGCCAGAGAACTTCGCGGCTAGACAGAAGAGAGGGAAATGTTTGGGTTTATAGAGTTGCTCCTTCTTCCCTCACTTCTATATTTGACAGTGACATCTAATTAGCGTT